AAACTACTTGATAAAATATTGTGATGGTGAAGCTAAAGCTACCATTGTTCATTGTACATTGCTTCAATCGGAAGAAGGTTATCGTAAAGCGTTAGAGCTTCTTGAGGAAGCATTCGGTCAGTAACACGTAGTTGCCCATGCATTTATCGACAAGATGTTGAACTTCCCTGCTATTAAGGAGACCGACTCAAATAGTTTAAGAAGGCTAGCTCGTGAGATATATATCTGTGAGCTTACGCTCACACAAATGAACTACCTGTCCGATCTTAATTCTACGAAAACCATCGAAAGCATGTTTTTAAAACTTCCACCACACCTACAGAGAGAATGGGTTAAAGTAGCATGTCGAATTCTCAAGACGGGTAGGGAACCTTTATTCAATGACCTCTGTGAGTTTGTTAAAAAGCAGTCGGATATAGCTAACACTAGATACGGCCTGCTTGTCAATCGCAGCGATAATGATGACAAAAGAGGTTTTGGTGCTTTAAAGGGGAAGGCTGCCGCAAGTTACAACATGGCAACGGTAGCGCATGCAAGCATTAATGACAGCAATACTTCCTTATACAATTCACCTTGTCGAGATTGCTCAAGCAATCACCTCTTAGATCAGTGCCAGAAGTTTAAAAACAAGAATGTTAAAGAAAGGAAAGAATTCGTCTTCAAGCATAAATTATGTAATAATTGTCTGAAAGCAAACCATATAGCAAAGAATTGTCGATCGCCGAGGTCGTGTATTGTCGAGGGATGTGGCTGGAGACATCATACTCTGTTACATGAGAAGCGGGAAGAACGAAGAGATACTATTAGTGGTGCCTGCATTAACTCTCAGATTTGTACAGAGGAAGATGTTAAGGGCATACAGAGGCCGGTGGCATTTGCAGTAGTTCCTGTGTGGATAAAAAACGGTGAGAGAATTATGCAGACGTGCGCCTTTCTAGATAGTGGGTCAGACACCTCTCTAATAGTAGAAGATCTAGCTGATAATTTAGGCCTCGGGGGAAAGCCGAGAACAGTGTCTTTAAAGACTATAAATAACGAATCTTCATTGGTATCTAAAGAGGTGGATGTAGAGTTGCACTCTATAGACTTCTCATCATCCGTTAAGATCCAGAAGGTATTGACAGTCAGAAAACTACCGGCAGTTCATAGAACTGTACCAACGGCGCGTCAAATGGCATCCTGGTCCTATTTAAAGGACGTAAGTTTCCTGAGAGTAGAAGATGAGGATGTTAAACTGTTGATCGGGTGTAATGTACCAAGAGTACGCGAGACGAAGGAGATGAGAAATGGAAAGATAGATGAGCCGTCTGCCATGAGGACCTTATTGGGTTGGACGTTGTTCGGTCCTTACGGGGAATTCATTGATAACAACCGTGCACTTAATCACCTCTCGGCTAAGGAGGAACTGGAAGATAAGTTTGAGCAGTTGTACTCAACTGAATCGAAAGACCCGTTTATGTCTATGGAAGATCGTAGAGCATTCAACGCTATATCAAGCACAGTGCAAAGGTTAAATGAACGTGATGAAATTGCGATAAACCTGAATGGAATAAACCTTCCTCAGACTAAATCAACAGATCAGGATTTTTCTAGATCTCTTTCTAATCATCCTGCTTCTCTCACAGAAGCTTATGTTGCATCACTCGATGCATCAAATGAATAAGCTAAGTCACCTACAGTTCTATCAAGTTTTGCTATAGCTAAGAAAGACATTCGATCTGGTTGTGTTCTCGGATCAAATATTTCATCAAGCGTTGTTAATGCTGATGTGTCGAAAGATACTTCAGTTAATTTATGGACAGCATCATCTACAAGTCATGATTCTGCTTCGTGTCCCTTTACTACATTGGCTAAAGTTGTTACAGCTTCTCAGGCAGACTGTAAGGATTCGAAAAATCTAGAAGATTCTGCTAAGGAAGTAGTTGGAGATAAACGGAAAGAAACGTTAACTTTAGCGGAAGTTGACCTAGTTGCAGGTGAAAGAGAAATGCCAGTTATATGACAGCTTTGCCGAGCTCATAATTCCGATGCTAATAAACAGAGGTGTAATAATTTTGGACCTTTTCATTTCCAGTTAAATGATATACACAACAGCAGTGCTGAAAAGAATAACGAATCTCTCTGCAGGTCACGGATAGTAGTACGTTTAGTGTATTAAGGCAGACTGTTGATTAATACTCTCAGTTGGTTACAAATGCCTGTTGCTCTAGTTGACTCACGAACTTTGAGAATGGGTACAATTAATGAGGTGGGTAGTTATGTAATGGCTGCATGGCACAACGACTTCCAATATCTTGCTGAGATTCTAGCCCATGGTCAGCGACATGGTACAAGAGTATCGCCTACGTTATATTTGGGATCGCGTTGTAGAATGGACACCCGTCAGCAAGTTATGCAAAGCAACTCAGTACGAAATCGTTTATGTCTTAAAATTCTGTAAAGAGCAAGATACACTACCCACAAATAAAATCCCCAGTAAATTTGATCTGCAGTATTCATGTAGTAGTAGCAATCATTCTGCATCGGGAACATCTCAAGCTAAAAGAATAAGGACAAATGTGTCAGAAAGCAAGTCATTAGACTGTACTTCGGATCCTGAAACACATCGCTATCGGTCACGTCTTACTCATGTAATTACAAGTGGTTTCTCTGTCTTAGAAGACAAGAAGACTCTTCTTTCAACATTATTTGATGGAATCATCGAACAGGATGGGATGGTTTGTGATAAGAGTGTTTTCCAGTTTCACGAAGCCTGTCGGAACGTCGTGAATTGAAAAGAAAAGCTATCGAAGAGAACGACACATGTCCATGTAGATTCGACAGTTCTGTATCTGTTTTGAGTCAAACATTCACCATCAGGTCAAACCATCAGAACAGACGTGGTCTTAATTCACAACATAATTCTATAAGAACCGAAAATTATGCAGCGGAAGCTACAGTAGCATCCCCACCGGTATCATCGAATTCATTTTGCCAGAAAAGTGATAAAATAAAGGGAAACATTACCCTATGCGGATCCACCGAGATGTGTAAACGAACGCTGGGAGTAGAGCAGAATATCCGAGCGGATGAATCATTTCTCAGAGTTCACGAGTTTCCTAGAAACCTAACCAGAAGGAATATTTTGTCGTTTATAGCATTAATCTTTGATCGCGGAGGCGGTATATGGAAACATATTATAAAGTCAACGAGAAGGAAGCCACAACATGGAGACTCACCGTTAGTAAACAATACTAGTTTGCTGGGAAATCTTTGGGTGGAAGCTATAGTTAGAGAAGTCGATTATGGTCCCGATGGCCGAGTCAGAACGATTCGATTGAAGAGACACCGTAGAGATCAATCGAGATATACGAAACATATGCCTACTGGAAGAGGTCGATTATTCGAGCGCGACGGCAACGAGGTCTGGACGTGGTGACCGCGTCAGGGGGGGGTGTTAGTTATTTTATAACTAATTGTAGTTATGTCATAACTAACCAATCAGATTAGTTAAGCGCTCACCACGTCATCTAGTCTGACCGGTCTATGAACTTTCTTTGTTGTGAATGGTCTATCGATTGAAGGATGTTATTATTTTATTTATATTGCTGTGACTCATGTTTTTTATTCATTTTCTAAAGACACGCTATACTGTCCGGTACGTTTGCTCATCTTGCTTGATAATTGTAATTTCCTTATTTATTGTACTAATTTAATCGTTTCTTTTTGTTTAGAAACAGATAAAGTTTAAAACCAAATTGTCTTCTGTTAACTATAGTTTCACTCTGGATTCTGTCATCGGCGGTATTCGCGTTTACGTTTTTAGAATTACTTCTGTAGGACAAATTAAATCCTACACACTCTCTTGTTAGGTCACATCAAACGTCAGTGGACCTGGTGATCACCATTATCAATCGTGAGTTTCGACTAGTTGGAATGCAGCAGTGAAATTTTCAGGGCATGGGATTAATTAGTTCTTACTGTTTGAACGGAACTTTTAAAAAAATTCTGCCATCTGACACGGAGACAGGCTAGTTTGGTGGATATTTTGTGAAGGGTTTAGCACTAGGATTAAGGAAACTATTAGCTCAGTTTTCACTTTCGTGGCCCTATCAGGATGCTGACAGTGACACATACACGTCACTACGTTTAAAATCACCTGGTCAGCACTTCATTGTGGATGTGTCCTTAAAGACACCGCTTTTCCAGAACAAGATAATGCCGCATAACAAGTCACGTGAGAAATACTGGGACATAGAACGTGCGAATAATAAAATAGTCTTCGGAGTGAGAACAGTATAAACAGCTTTCCGTTTAGAAATGAATGACATATGAGTCCTTTTTAAAGAAGTCTAGTTGAGGTTCTGAACGAAGCTTCAAAAAGTGGACCATTGGTTTGAATTGGAGCGCTTTACAAACAGTTACGCTCCGTTGGTACTCATGGTTTTCTAGGTCAATATCGAATTAAGTAGGTCACCTCTTCAGATTTTGCACGTAAGTAGGATGACAGCTAGTTAAAATAACAATTATCAAAAATTTTTATTAAGATAGGTTTTAGTATTACAACTAGATAATGAAATTATTCATTTTATACATTCAAGCCTAGGTTGCTTGAACACAAATGGAAAAGAAATGAGTGGACTTTTAAGAATCAATGAATCGCGAAATTTTTTATTAGCTGTTAGGAATTTTGGATGATTCTCCTGAAAATATTTTTTCCAGGAGAAATATCAGTCAGTCAGCTTCAACTTACAAATTCGTACTTACCGAGCACAATATAGTGTCTCAGATACTATCTTCAATAATACTTCGACGCTTAAATAGGTCTCATAAACAGTGAACTCGGAAAAATCAGGGTAGTTTCTGACTTGGATGTGAATGTATAGAACATACAGGTTCCCCAACACAGACAGGTTCAGACGTTCCACAATAGTTGTATTTCTCGACACTACAGCGGCTTTTGACTCTATCAGTCGTGAGGTTCTGTGGCGGTGTCCGTCATTAAAAGGCGTACCAAAGAAGTACATTAATCTTATACAGTCTGTCTACTCGAACACTACTGGTCATGTGAGAGCTTATGGCGATCTGTCACCAGTCAGTCAGCTGCAACGTAGAACTTCGTACGTAAGTACATCAGTTCATATCGCCACACCACATCAGCACAGAGATATAATTGTCAATTCAAATCCAATAGTAGTAGAGGTAGTAAGGGAATTAGAAGTAATCGAAGAGGTTAGGATTAGAAGATACTATTCAAGAAGTATGATTCAGGGAGAAAAGTTTAGAGAGTCGAAACTAGAGGTGTTGAAGAACTCAGAAGATTAGGATTTGAGAGAACACAAAGAATAAATGCACTGGCGCCATTGCGAACGATTTTGAGCCATGTCATTCAAGGTCTCTAACCATCGGTTATTATCATCTCGCGGACCCCAACCAGGTAGTCGACGATTACCGACATGGCTCAGTCCATTCGTCAATGATTTCATGGATTTATGCCATGTTTTGGTCTGGCCGCCCCTAACTTTCTTCCAACCTATTCCTACACTACAAAACAAAGCTGGACGAGGCAGTCGGTGGTTAGGCATACGCAACACATGTCCCAACCACCTCAACTGATGAAGTTTCACCACTTCATCGATTGATCTGTCATTCTTACCTAGTACCCGATTCCTAATAACAGCGTTGCTCAGTCGGGTGTCCCACGATATACAAGCAATGCTTCGAAGACACATGATCGAAAACCAATAACCGACGAGTATCTTCTACTCTCATTGGCCATGTTTCACAGCCATAAAGTAAGACGGAGCGAACTACTGCGCAGTACACTCGTCCTTTAGTCAGCAAACGGATATCTCGCCTACGCCATAATTGACGCAGGTTGGCAAAAGCCAATCGAGCCTTCTGTATCCGAGCTGAGATTTCGTCAGTCACCAGGCCATCAGCACTGATGAGACTCCCAAGATAAGTGAAGCGGTCTACACGTTCGACCACTTCACTCCCTATCACTAGTTCAGGTGCCGATGAAACCCAGTCTTGAAGCAACGTTTTGCATTTCGAGGGGGAAAACCGCATCCCAAACATGCTTGCACTGTCTCTTAGGGTGGTCAGAAGACTCTGCATTTTGTCAGCGTCTTCACCAAGTAGGACAATGTCATCGGCATATTCTAAGTCAATAAGCGAGCCACCTGGTAAAAGGTCTACTCCAGAAAATTCAGACGAGGATAATGTTATATCTAGGAGCATGTCTATGATAAAATTAAACAAGAATGGAGAAAGTGGACATCCCTGACGGACACCACTTGAAGTAAAGAATTCCGGTGACAGTTGGCCATAAGCTCTCACTCGACCAGTGGTGTTTGAGTAGAGAGCTTGTATGAGGTTAATGTACTTATTTGGTACACCTTTCAATGACAGACACTGCCACAGAACCTCACGATCCACTGAGTCAAATGCGGCTTTTAGGTCCAGGAAAACAACTATTGTAGGACGCCTAAATGTGTGTCTGTGTTCCAGGACCTGTCGTAGTGTGAAGATGTGGTCTATACAACCACGTCCAGGTCGAAAACCAGATTGGTTTCCTCGAGTCTGTTCTTCACGAGCTTTCGTTAAGCGTTGAAGTATTACTGAGGCCAATATTTTAGATACCATATTAGTTAGACTTATTCCCCTGTGATTGCCGCAAGAAGGCTTCTGTCCTTTCTTATAGATTGGGACAATCAGTGATTGAGACCAGTCGGATGGGATTACGTCCATTTCTCAGATTCTACATAAGATCTCAGTCAACCTAGCTGCTAACACTGGACCACCATTCTAAAATATCTAAGGGGTCAATCTATCAGGACCCGCAGCTCGTAACTGTGACTAGGAGACACGCTTGTTGACTTAAGGTATGCCGATGACCTATTTCTATTTGATGAAGACGATGACAAAATGCAGAGTCCTATGACCACCTTAAGCAACAATGCAAGCATGTTCAGGATGCAGTTTTCCCCATCGGAATGCAAAATTTAGCGTCAAGATCGGCTTGCGTCAGCACCTGAACTAGTGTTAGGGAGTGAAGCGGTTGAGCGTGTTGACCGCTTCACTTATTTGGGGAGTCTCATCAGTTCTGATAGCCTGGTGTTTGACAAAATCTCAGGACGGGTTTAGAAGCCTTGATTAGCTTTCGCCAACTTGCGTCACTTTTGGCGTAGGTGAGATATCCGTCTGCTAACCACAAGACGAGTGTACTGCGCAGCAGTTCGCTCTCTCCTGCTATATGTATACAAAACAGCTAGTAAACGTAGAGGATATTCGTAGGATGCTTATTTTCGATCATAGAGGTCTTGGAAGTCTTGCTCAAGTATCCTGGGACAATCGAGTAAGCAATGCTGTTGTTAGGAAAAGAGTATTAGGTGAGGTTGGTTGGTCAATAGATGAAATAGTGAAACTTCATTAGTTGGTGTGGTTGGAACATGGGTTACGATTGCCCAACCATGAGCTGCCTCGGGTAGCGATGATGCCTGGTGTCGTGGTGGGCTGGAAGGTAGGGGCGACGAGATGATAGTAATTGATGCTTAAAGACCCTGAATGGCATGGCTCAAGATCGTTTGGAATGGCACAGGTGCGTCTATTCTTTGTGTTCGCTCAAGTTAAAATCTGAGTTCCGCATGCCAGTTTTTCTCTCTTTCAATTCACTTCACCGGGATATACTTCCCGAATAATATCTTCGATAGCTAATCTTCTTGATTACCGCTACTATTTCTACTACTTATGAGATTTTAATAGACAACCCGACCTCTGTGCGGTAATGTGGTATGGCAATTTGAACTGACGTTCATACGTATGAAGTTCTTCGTTGTAGCTGCTGAGGAGGAATATCATTCAATTAAAACTGACTTAATTTATTATACAACTTTCCATCTGATTTACGCCGGCTTGCCTTTTTTTCACCTATATCTATTTAATTGTTTACTTTTTGAAAATGTCGCCTACCGCCGAACTGTACGCCAACTAGTTAATTTTATTCACAGTTGGTTTGTTTGCCGAAATCACTACCTATTTGTCTACAATCCCTTTTTTATCTTATTTAAACACAAACGCTAGTATAAAAAGACCCCTAAGTATGTATGTGCCAGACGGTTTGTTGAATTGGTGGGAGGGCTGGGGCACTGCCTGAACACAAACAGAATTAAGTGGTTTCCCTAGGGGCCACACCACGAGCCTTTGGCCCAAAAATTTAATCCAAAAGGTAGTAGAGCGACGTTAAGAGATGCATTTCCAAGGTAGCTGGTGACCAACAATAGGTTCTTGAGCTACTTGCTTGCTTAGGACCCTGGAGCGTATGCTCACCATTGGTTTGGAATCAGGGTTTTCATACCCCGCTGGATGAATCATCGCTACCCACAAACCCGGTTAAAGCACTAGACATTCGCTTCTCGTCTTTTCAATTTCGTAAACAGCATACTGGCATAGTGATTGCAACTTCCCTGACAGAGGCTACATATACATGACTATATGGAAGCATTTCGAGAGAAGTAAACTGTCCACATTCTCAGCTGTACCAGAGCTTTCGGGGCTTCTTTACTATGGTGTTGGTGCTAAAGACCGTTGTTGGTCAATTATTTTTGTAGATATCCTCATCAGATTGCCTCGATGTTGTTATTTTACGTGTAGAAGAAAACGCGCTGACTGAATTCCGCTGCTAACCACTAGTCATCTCTTCTTAGTAATCTGTGATTGTTGGAAAGCTAGGTTTTCATTTAAGTGACTCGTTCAGAATCCAGTAACAACAACGAAACCATTTCAAGCCCCTCAGTTGAAGACCAGTTCAGCGAATGTAAAGGTGGAAAATGTCTCGCAGTTGGCGTCAAATGTTTCTAAAATAAGACTCGATTATTGCTCACGTTCGATGTAGAACATTTAAGCTCTCCTATCCTTGTGTAGTGGTCACTTTAGTGTGCATATGAATTTCGGATTTATTCTATGCTTGATTCACTGTAACGTGACCCTGTTTTATTTGTTTATAGTGCCGAAAAGCTATAATCCACTTTCATAGGGTTCTAAATCCTAATTTTTGTATAGGACTACACAGTTTTTAAATGTTTGGATACGTTTTTCGAAGATTTACTTTGTTGGAAATATTTCAAGTATAAGCACTTATGGCCTACCTTGCACTCGTTTTCTATAGTTGTGAATTCGTAGTTTCGTTAGGCGCTTTCAGTAACTTCAATGTACATTCTTATATCATTTCTTGATATTACAGTTTACTTGATTCACAATTGTCTTGATTTAGTTATTGATAATGCGTATCGTTCATGAAACTTTCCCATAGTTTTCATTCATTGTCTAGTTGTTTATTCTTTTTTAAGACATGCGCAGTACTAGTTTTACTTCATATTATTTAGTAATTTCTTTTCCAGATAAAAGAAATGTTTGTATCAAGCAGTATTCATGCTAATCATGCTGATTTAATTCATGATATAGCCTATGATTTCTATGGTCGACGTATGGCAACTTGTAGTAGTGATCAAATGATAAAAGTACGTATATATTTTTTTTTAAATACTTTTTTACGACCGTCTACATTATTTATTACCACTTTATTGATATTATGTTGTTGAGATTTTTATTATGAATAAGGTAAATTTTTAATTGTCAGAATCAATGAATAGAAAGTTAGTCGATAAATGAGCCTGATTTTGTAATGTGGTTGATTGACAGATGCTCGACGTAACTAATGGTTAACTTAAGCAGCCAAATGACTTTAAATCAAAAACAAAGTTACTGGTAAAATTAACATATTATTATATAACAAAATAAAATACTTCTTTACAAAACGTGGGCAAAATAAACGCGATAAACTAGCTTTGGCGGTCCAAGAAAATTATCTTGTAGATCGCTCATCCTTTAATAAAGTAAGACCTAACTGTTAGGCCTAATCTATGAACATCTCCTCACACTATTAAATAAACAATCTAAGCGATCGCCTAGAAATACGATAACATTCAAACTAGAGGTTTCTTCCACACAAATTATTAGTGTTATCTGATTTGATGTATGTTATGAGATGTATTGTCGGTAAATTGAATAATTTGGAATTCATTTATGAACAAATAGTCACTGTATGTACAATGTATAATCGCTAGTTATTAGTGTGTTTGGACAGGGGAAATTTCTCGAACAGACTCTTAGGAGTTGGTGATTGAATATCCTAAGAGATATTCCTTGTTGTTGATCACAGCGATTCAAATGTATTCAATCTTTATTTCCTTCATATTTTAAACCATGTGTATTTTACCGTTTGCTGTTTACTTCACAAGTCAGATTCGTGCTAGTATTCTTTGATTGGTTGATTTCCTAGTTCAGGAACCAGATCAGATCTATATTTAGTACTTTCATTCCAGGGTTTTTGAAATCCTTAATCAAGTATTGAATAACTTGTAAATCTCTAATCAAATCATCAACCATGTACTCGGTTGTGAACTACACTGTAAGTCTAATAGCTAATGATATTACTGTGACCCAAACTGAAGTAGAATGAGGTTCAAACTTAAAACCTAATGACTGAAAGTTAAAATGATAAGTTAGAACCAGGAATACTGACCATGTTCCTTTTTATTAACAACTACTTTGTCCTTGGATTAGTTATTTATTTGGGAAGTGGTTTATCCTACTTATCCGCTCTTTCATGTGTCGTTTAGTAGTCTAATGTAAGTGACATCTCAACACAGAATTTCTAAGTGCTTGTAAAAGTTTCTACCTCTTTATCTGGGCATAAATCTGAAAAGTTTGTGCAAATACAATTTAAAAGTTACAAATTACTTCGTATTCAGCAAAAGTATGTTAAATTGAAAGACTGAACACACATGAATAATAAAGCTACGCCACGTAACATTTTTGCATTTTTTTTCCTTTTTTTGAAATGAAAACCAGTAGAAATTTAATGGTATAACCGATTACTATTTGTAAAGCAAGGCTTGTAGTGATATAGGTGAAAGTATTATTTTGAAAGCTGTAATTCAGAAGACTTTTAGTTCTTTGTTTGTGTTTACCAATCTCAATCTAGCTGTCTTTAAACTGATCTCATAACGCTTAACTGTTTTATTTACTGTACAACCAGTATGACCATAGTGACTGGCCAAATTTCCACTTATCGTTTCTAAATAATAAAAACTGAAAGTCCCCACTCACCTTTCACTCGGTGGTCAGTCGGGAATGTATAAACATATTCGTTCCGAAAGAGCAGTCTTAGAGAATGGAGTAAACACTTCTCATTCAAGCTTAGGAGTATGGTGGAACAGACTTTACAAATTATATGTAATTCATTTGAGGAAAGAATACCAACCACTTTAAAATATTTATCAAAGAGATGCATCGTCAAATGGAATCTAGCACAAACTAATCAGTTCAAGTTGCCACACTCCTCAGTTATATAAAGGAAGCCAGCAGTGAAAAAGTCTCTTTTATCTCGTGGATTTCATTACGTACTTGTGTACCTTTTTGTGACTCAGGGTAGCAGCCCAATACTTCAAATGCTGATCAATCTTCACAGATTTTGGTTTTTACCACTCTCATCTTATACTTAAGTATCTCTTCCCTGGTTATATGTATTGAATCCAAGTACAACTATTCGATAAAAGTACTCATCCAAAATCCCTTTATTTCACTCTTAAGTGTATTTTCGCTGGCAATAGTGGTATTTAAACCGGGAATCAAGTGACACTGTCTAACTAAATTCAAGCGGATGAAAAACTTTTTCTCATATAATCTCTAATTTATAAACCTTAAAGTTATTGTCTAAGGTTACGTACTTACCTGTTACCCCTAAAGAAGCATAGGCCGCCTACCAGTATTCTCCAACCTACTCTGTCCTTGGCCTCGCTTTCCCGTTCTGTTCAATTTTTGTTCATCCTTCTTATGTCTATCTCCATTTCTCGGTGTAATGTGTTCCTTGGCCTTCCTCTTTTCCTTTGGCTTTGAGGAATACAATTGAGGGCTTTGTTATCTCCCACAGTAGGTTGTTGCTGATGGTGTCTGGCCAACGGGTCCGAAGTATTTTGCGTAGACAACTGTTAATGAACACTTGTATCTTCTGGATGATAGCTTTGGTAGTTCTCTAAGTTCCCGCTCCATACAGTAGAACTGTCTTGACATTTGTATAGGAAATTGTGACTTCGGTGTTAGTTGATAGTTGTTTTGGGGTTCCATATGTTTCCCAATTGTAAAAATTCAGCCTTTGCTTTCCCGATCCTCACCTTCACATCAGATCCACCTTGCTCGTCATTGATGCTGCCCAGATATGTAAAGCTCCTCAAGTGTGATTTGGTTGGCGCATGTTGTGTTGTACTGTAGAATCCTGCTTTTCCCTTTATGTATGTTGAGACCTGCTGCTGCACTAGTCGTCTTCGGTTGCATTTGTTGTTGCGTGCTCAACAGAAGAGCCAGATCATCTGCGAAGTCCAAATCGTCCAGCTGTGTCCTAGTTATCCATTGTATCCCGTACTTCCGTCCAAATCTTGACATCTTCATAATTCAGTGGATCACTAGGAGAAAGAGAAAAGGCGAGAGTAAGCAACCTTCTCTGACACCAGTCTTAACCTAGAACGTTTTATTGTGTATAGGACTGTTTGAAAAATGTTACCTACAAATTAAGGAAATTATCTCTCATTATGTCATTTTCTGTTTAACAATTTCCAAATGAATTAGAAAACATCTTAGAAGTTAGTTTATTGTTTGATTTAATTTCACATGATGGTATAAGTGGTTATTCTATCTACTAGTAGTGTTCTTCTGTTTGTTTAACTGTAAAGGAAGGAGCAATGTTGAGTTCAGCGTTACGTATGTGGGCTTGTTTATTTTTCTAAGTTGATATATCATTTTACTGACTCATCATACTTATTGTCTTTACATTACTGTATTTATTTGCCTTTTCAAGGATTAATATTGCGATATTGATAAGATTATTGGATCCTCAATAGGTTATTATTATTATTATTGTGTGGGAAACATAAATTTATTAGTTCTTTATTCAATGTAATTGTTCCTTAATACTTATTGTCATTGTTTTCGTGGTTTATACCAATAATGTTTTGTTGACCTTTATCTCATGGTAGTAAGGAGTGTTCTTTTAAATTCTCTTTATTATCGCTTGCTTATGTTATTGTTATCACGCATAGTTGAACGGCTTACTGCTATAGTAACCACATTTTCCAAATAGCTTTGTCATAATTCAACTACTAAACATTATTGATAATGGTTTATCATAACATTTTTCAATAAGTAACTTTACACGACTACCCAGTTGTTAAACTATATTTCATAGTTATTATCTGTATACGAAAAGTCCCAACCATCGAGTCATGCAATTCTTATTCATCTCTATTTGTTGCCCATTTTAATGTCTGGGTCATATATGGTCTCGGATTTAATATTTTTTTTTAGAATAAATTCATCATTTATTATTTAGCTATATATTGCACTAATTAATTATATAGTCATTCATAACTCATACATAATTTACTATAGTGAACCACTACTCGTTTGGTGGAACTATCATGTTATCTGTACGGAGAAAGGTGTAGTAATTTGAACTAGTATTACCATACGAACAACTACGTTATATACAGTTGACTAATCTAAAATATAACTGTTATTCATGTTAAAACTGTTCAGTTCATGTTATTTTTGTAAATTTCTTTTGAATTTTCAAAAACTATTAGTCATATAAACAAACACAATTTTGTGCTGTTGATCGAGATATGCTAACCTGGAGAAAAGGTGACTGTATAAGTTATTTTTCTATTTATCTCAATTATTCAACTAGTCCGTGTATCTGGTTCACTTTTCTAAGTGTTCTACTCGAATTAAGAAATCATTTAGCCGCGAATGGATAGATCCATAGGGATATCTACATGAATCAGACAAAACGAGCGTTTGCATAACTTCGTTCACATAAACAAACAATGAATCTCATTCGTTTTTGAAGCAACAAAATAAGAGAAATTTCACTCCTAACACATTGATTTTGATGTTTACTTGTGTTCTTTTGAATGATTCGAAATATTTTCACTGAAAACTTGAAATTCATAAACTTTAACGACTGGGAATCATTCGGACATGTGTTTACCTAAAATAACGTTTCGGTTCGCGTTTTTATTCTAGTTATATAAATATATCCTTGGTGTAATTTTCTTATTCCTTTAAACTCTTATCAATGTAATTTCATTGAATCTTTAACAATATTTTGTTCAGAAATTTTAAATGGAAATATCTAGATCTTGGTCAATATTTTCAAATCTTCCAAAATCTTGAATATTAGAATCTTCCAATCGTAAGTTGATTTACATGCAAATTCTGCAATTTCAGCAAATTATATAAGTAAGCTCCAAATATTTTCCAAGTTACTGATGTTTGTGCCGAATTTATAATGCCAACATTAATTTGCCTTCAAAAGGAATCGATAACTCATTTAACAAAAAAAACACAGATTGTCTATGATCTTATAGTCTTCTTTAACTAGTACTTATTTTTTTTTCAACTCGTTTAACATAATGGTTTTTATATATGTTTATCATATTATATATTTTATCATATTTTCAACTTTGTGACTGATAAAGTTTTACTCACCGTAGATGAGATATTTTAAGTTTGGGGTAACAACTATGTAATATTTACTAATCTTTCTATATTAAAGGTTGGAATATTTTTACAAATTCTTAGATTTGGGATTTAAAAGACAATGAGGAATGGGTATGCACTGCTTCATGGCGATGCCATTTGGGATCAGCATGGCGTGTCACCTGGGCACATCCTGAATTCGGTCAGGTTATCGCTACTTGTTCATTTGATCGTACAATAGCAGTGTGGGAGGAAATTGCCGGTACTCAGGTAAGTAATGTCACTTATTCATAAAGACTTTTCCGAACAACATCTATTCGGAAAAATTATGTTATAGTATTTACAGCTATCAAATTTGCAGTATTTCTATAATAAATATCAGTCTTCTCATGATTGAACACTTAAAAACTGAATCCAGTTATGGCCAACTAACTTTTTCTTTATATTTTGTCGTCGTCCACATTCATGGCATAGAACTAGGCATTCATCTAAAGGTTTTATTTCGTCATATTGATTTTCAAAACTAAGAAACATTTCGTGAAATTAAAGCATAAACTTTATATTGTAGGAGTAAGTCGCAGTTCCCTATGACTCTTTCAAGTATTTGTAATTGTCATGTTTTTGCTTTCATGTCCTAAGCATCAGTTTCACTTATTTCTGATTTACTTTACTCTTGATTTTCACTATTGTGTTTTACTTAGACTATGGCTAGTGGTGGTGAAAATGATGGTGGTACTAATCAAACTTCTTCAACTGTAACAAACATTACACATGGAGGTCAGTCAACAAGTACTAATTGGATAAGACGTGCCTATCTTGTTGATCCACGTACTTCTGTAACTGGTCTACAATTTGCTCCAAGGCATCTAGGTCTTCAGTTGGCTGCTATTTCTACAGATGGCATGTTACGAATTTACGAAGCATTGGTAAGAAAGAGTCTTCTTTGTCTGATTAGTGTTTCGATTCTACCACCACACTCTTGTAGTGGTAATTTTGGAAATTTATAATCAGTTTCCTGTACAGTAATACGAATAGTAGGATATTTTAAGTAAAGTTGAATGAAAATAGTAGCACATATTTCAAACTTTATACAGTCAGACATAGAGGTTAAATATGCAGTGACTTAGCTTAGTTTTAAAGCGTTTATGTTTATACCCAGATTGTTTTCTACCGACCGATTCAATTTTCGAATCTACATCATATCAGTCACTACCAATAAACACTATGTTTTCTTCTATGCTCTTATCGTTATTTATATGGTTCAAACAAATCATTTTAGTTTACAACTTTCTGAATGTAAACATTTTTACGGAAAAGTAATAATATTTAAAATCTAGAAGCGTCAAGGTTCTTTAACTGAAACATAACACTAATCAATAAATTCATTGACTATTCCATCTAAGGTGTGCAGTTTGATTCGCTAGATATCCAGTACGCACATTGGTTGTTGAAATGCATCATGAATGATAGCGTTTTTTCTGGTGATAACTTATCGAAGTGTTAATAATATATTCGAGGTAATTTGTCATTTAGTTTGTATAAAACCCTTCAGTTTTTTCGTTGCATCTGATCCATTAGAACTGTTAATGGGTGAAGTCGCGTAATATCGTAGATTGATCGAAGTTAGACATTAACACCATTGGATGCCGGCCCAATGGTCAAAAGTTTAAGTGTTTGTGCGCAAGACCAAAAGTCCTGGGTTCGGTTGCCGCGTCCGGGGTTCGTAGATGTGCACTGTTGATGAGTCTCGTACTGGGACGCAGCGGCCATCTAGTACTTCCAGGTTTCTAATGGTGACCTTACAATGATCGATTCGTGATTTCAAAGAGAAATAAAACTAGCTAAGTCTCGGAAACGCCTTCAACCAAAATGGTCTGTGTAAAATGTATCCTATATATTGTTCAGTATTCAGTACAATTGCCGAATTTAAAACTAAACCCGACATAAAATGTATAATCATTAGTCGTGTAAATTAGTTTCCTGCTTGAAATTCTAAGTCTACTAGTGAGTTATATTCATTTGGAAGGTTCAAACTATGCGCGAAAATCAATAATATATTTTTGTGCTAAATTTTATCAAACAAATAAACTCTTTAGTCTAAATTCACCGATTACCAATGTCAAACTGAAATAACTTATATTTCCTTACTTTGAATTCGTGTATTTATCTCCGTTTGTTTTTTAATTTACTTGTCATTAGTGTTGAGATTTATTTATTCCTTTTTATATTTACTTATTATTTGACTGTATCAAAGGATGTCATGAATTTAAGTCAGTGGCGTTTGCAGTTCGATTTTGGGACTAAAATGGCTGGATCGTGTCTGGCATGGTCTCAGGTATATTTTGTTTATTATACTTTGTAACAAATATACAATTAGTCATAAAGGACTTTATATTAACTTGATTTTATGCATAGAATATACTTGTTGCAAGTTAAAATTATACGCTTGTTGATTGTTGACTGATTAGTTTTCCTACCTGATATGAATAGTGAGTATTAGGGTCGGTATAAGCCGTTTTCTCAGCTAGTTTCGAACCAGCATCTGATGAGTTATTGTCTTACTTACTACTAGGTCCATATGATCATTTCATATTTTCTGATAAATTCTTAGATATTTTGACGACAGAATTTGTTATTGCTTAGATACACTGAATAATCTGTAAGTTCTAGTAAAAATGACTCGTGATCATATATAACAGTGGAGCAGTGAACTGGATAGTAGTATCGCTAGCCCTCATAACATATCAGAATGACTGTCTAAAAAGTATTTAACGTAGTATGTGCATTCGATAATAAAGAATCATTACATTTTTTGTTACTAATTACTGTAATTTCACTATTTTTTTAAAATCTATGAAACAAAACTCTGCTGTATGTCATATTTAGTTTGTTTTATTCTAATGAATGAGCGTACAATGTATTTTACCTGTTATCTTAATATATCTGTACTTATTTTATGTTTCCCCCAATTGTACCATGTCAATGTAGCCATTGTTCAGTGTTGACACAACTCAGTAATTAACCAGAAGTCTATGTGTAAGCTCATCGTTCAACTACATTCATTGTACTAAATCTAATGACACTAACTACACGAATACTTTATCCAAATTATGTGGAGCAGAGTTTAAAATGACGAATTCCTAAATTACTTAAGTGTCATTAGTTAGTAGAATAAAATAGTTTTCATACTATTATTAGTTACTTCCATAATGTAAGCTTCCGTTAAAAGATATTGTTCATAGTATTTGGTTTGCGTGAAGTTGCGTAAAAGTGAATTACAAAGTTGGTCAATCATTCATATATACCGTTATTTATCTAATAAAAAAGAACACTAAATTATTCTCTCGGATTTTGGATGTTCAGATGCTTCAATCAACTAAAAGTAGTCCTTTTGTACTCCGAAATTTCTATTCTGTATTTAAATTCTCAAAAGTAGAAATTATTATTTAGATCTCACGAATTCAAATTTACTATAAAAATCTCTATCTAATTATGGTGTTACACTGTGTTTTACTGTTTTGACATCATATGCCATGCTGTTATAAATGAAATCGTAGTTTTAAGTAATTAAACATTCATTAGTATCTAAATGGTTAGGGTGTTTAAGTGGCTTTATGTTATATAAAGTAATCAGTTGATTTTCATCGGTCTTTTTTAGTCACGTCTTGATCCACCTTTAATTGCTGTCGGTAGTGTTAGTCCTAATGATCCAGATACTGCGGATAATTCGGACGGTTTGCCAACACATCATTCTATGTCTCATACAACGGCGCATCCAACAAATTCTCTAGTCAATGGCAAACTTATTCTTTATGAATATTCTGAAGCTAGAAGGCATTGGTTTCTAGTGGAGGATGTGCATGCATTGAATGATCCTATTTACGATGTGGCGTTCGCTCCGCATATGGGTCAATCATATCATACATTGGCTGTTGGATCGAAAGAATTGTATATATTAAGAATTAAACCGTTCAGTTCCAATCCTTCCTCTGGTTCAATGATGAAAAGTAAATTAAATATACACATTTTTTTATATATGACTTTATGAAACCTTTTTCTAAAAAAAATTGCTGGGTCTTTTTAAAATATCACATCCTATCTATCCATCATTATTGCTAACATTGAGAGTTTGAGACATAATTGTACATAAATTTATGCCTTTAAATTCGTCAGTCAGTTGTAACCAAATGCAAATAATGAAGCGTGAAAAACCGTAAATTCTTTAGGTTTTATCACTTTCTCTCTAGTTGTGTCAACATTCTAAAAAAAAATAAATAAATGCAAACTTACAATTTTGATTAGCTGATTACACACTTTATCTAACTGAGAGCATAGCTTTTTGGTCTCAAACTGTTTTACTTGAAACTAACTTTAGCTTTGTAATATAGTAGTTAGGGAACAGTAGTTTGACGAAAAGTTGATTACTTAACGATTGAAAACCAGTACTTTGTCCATTTTCTTGTGGATCGTATTTGCTCGGTATCAAGTTGTAATTTCTATGGATTTTAAAGAAGTAAATTTTAGCAATGTATTCACAACAAATCAACTCTCGAAAATTGCTTTTCTAATTATCGACTTGTTCAAAATAATAATGTTATCGGTGCGATAACTGCGTATGTGGAATGATGTAAACATCGTACCGATTGGACAAGCTAGTGTTTAGTTGGGCTCGGTGACTGTTGATGTTAAAAGTGAAAAATACTAAGTTTATCAACACTGGGATGCAGGCACGTTTCTGTCTGATGAGCTCCGTATTCCACTACTGGGTAAAATCCATCTTTTCTCTAAAACTTGGGCTAACTGTTTGTTAAGTTTCTGTCCATCTTCTACTTAGTAGTTATTGTATGTCATAAATTATAATATGGTCCGTATACCATAATTATCAATGCTCCACTTCAAGTTAACCCATCCTTCATTTACAGGGAAATGAAAAGTGATAAAATTGAAACAAATTTTACATAATTATTTACTCCTTAATTAATTTAGTCGCGGTTATTCCAGTTTGCAAGGTGTTTATAAATAGCCTGAAGATCAAACCACTTAGTTTTCAACCAGAAAGTTATAGGTTCAAACGTTACTCCACTCCTGTTCGGGTAACCAGTTAATATCACTAACTCAAAGTCGAGTACATAGATGTGTAAATAAGTTACATTAAATGATATGAATAATAATTTATAAGCTCCAGCATCCTAACTTCCTATTTCATACTTGTTGTTTTAATCTGTAGTAGAACTAGTTCATTGAATCAAAAGAAATCAAAAATAACGAAGTTGATATATACTGGCACTGTTGATGAGTCCCCATACCAGGACGAAACGACCGTCCACTGCTTCCAGGTTTCTAATGGTGGTCTAACAATGATTGATTGATGATTTCAAATGTATAAAAACACTAATCTCCATAACTCTAATTGAAAATACTATTTTCTACTTACTACGATATGCTAATACAACCAGTGACCAAAACTATATTACTACTAGAGTGGATACTCGATCGATACCTTAGACACAGACTTAATCATGTCATACCAGATACGCAAATCACGAACAAACGTAAGGAATCAGAGTAAGTACTAAATACTAAACAATACAACACATACAGTTTACACTAACTAGTTCCTGGGTAGAAATCAATATCAAGCAGGAAATCACAAATTCGATAGTCAGTAAGCTATGTCTGTCGATTCACACTCAATGACAAATCAAAATTACCTTTACTAGCTACATATTAGAAGTGTTTCATCTTTTTCAACTATTTTAAATTGTTCTATGTAATCAGACACTACTTTCTTATTATCTTTTCTTACTGTTTAATAGACGACAATTCTAGCTCCAATAATTTATCATTGTCACGATCGAATCTACCTATACGTAATCCATATGAAATTAGAATGATGGCACGTTTCGATCATCACGAAGGACGAGTTTGGCATGTTTCTTGGAATGTGACTGGTAAAGTTTAACAATATTTACGATAGTTCAAACATTTTTTTTATCCAAAAATTCAACTGATCAGTCATGTTACATTTTTTGATTGTATGCAATTTGTCAGCTTGTAAACTGGTGAAAAGTAGTTTCATTAAAAAAAATTTCTCATCTCTGTGTGTATGTTTCCACTTTTTCATTCGTCTGTGTTGTTTAAAATCTAAGAATATTATCTAAAATGTAGACGTTAAATAACGGAGCTTAACATTACTCCACTGTCTTGTAGATTAGACCTTTTGGTCAAAGTAATGAAAAGTTGGCCCCTAATAAGACCGGTTGCCTCGATTCGGTCTGTCAGTCAATATCCCAGCCCACATGTAGATATATTTGTACGGTGCATTTTATTTTTGGTACCCAGTTGTACTAGATTTTATGTGAACCAAACAAATCATGCATATCTTGAAAGAGCTCAACTATACTTTTAATAGTTAATTTGACTAAGAACTGAAATAACCACATAAAGCCATGATCAAGAACGTTATTTATTATCTACAAGTTCATTTTGTTGTTTATCGGTAGTGACAGGGATAAAAAAAATCAAACACGCAACATGACAATTGCTAATTTTCAATTTAAACTGTATATAATCAAATAAAATTTCAAAACTTTATCATCTTCCAAACTCATTTCGGAGATTTAGAAATGCATTTATAAGTACTTTTTCATGTCATGACATTTTAGCTTATCATGATTTCTAGTAGTTGTTGTTTAGAGTTCATTGGTTGATGCAAATTATCTTCAAATGTAACAGTTCTAAACAAATGTATAAACCACTGTATGGAATTTTATTTTCAAATATTATAATACTGATACCATTAATAAACGTTTGGCTAACCTTAAAGTTAATTAATTTTTACATGCTTTTTTTCTTGATAAAAAAAAACCTGAATCTCAATTCATTAGGCTCGTTACTCGCATCATCAGGCGATGATGGATGTGTACGACTTTGGCAAGCCAATTATCTTGGTGTATGGCTTCCAGTGTCTGTTATTAGTCCAGATGGTAGTCGTTCTGTTACAATACCTAATGGACAAAATAATCTATCAAATCATATACTGAAATCATTCTCTTCAGGTCCACTTAAGCCGTCGTCTATTACATCATCAGCTTCACCTATTCGTTTGTCCAGTTCTACAGCTCAGATCAAACAAAATGAACATGTTATGGATCATACTGAACAACCGTCGAACACTAATCTACGTAAGGATATGCACTGAAAATATTTTTATTTTATACTATGAAAGTTAATTTTTGTATCAATATACCGTGGCTATCTTTATACAATAAATTTACTGAACTCTGTGTTCAACTCAATATCCACTTGATAAAAACTCAACATATAACCATTTTCGATTAAATTATAAGTATTGGTTGTTTGGATCTTCTCATTGCTGTTTAACACTGCAATTTTTCAGTCTCTTCTAGGATGTGCAGATTGCCTTAATATTACCACTAAATCACAAGCGATTTTAAGGAGAGACAGATGGTGACTAGCACTAGAATCTAGAATGTACGTTTTATCCTATTTAGGTCCAATCAATTGCAGCCCTAAATATCAGTGGTAAAATTCAAACCATCAACATGTATAAATTATAATTTACTCCATTGCACAACTCAGTGGCTATCTGAATTCGGAGTAAATATTGCGTTGGAGTTTGAAGCAGGCAGTACTTTGTTCGAAACCCAGGGTGGACATCAACTCGTCCATCCAACTGACGGGTACCAAATAGGATGAATTGCACATATTGAATTCCACGACTAGCCACCATCCATCGTCTTGTGGTTTATAGGGATCATTATCAATTTTCGATTTGATAATTCCAAATAAACTAATGTTTCCTAACTTAGTATTAATTCACTTTGAAGATGCTGCTTACACTATGTTGTAAGACAACAGAAATTTTACTTTCTACTCATCGGTATATTATAAGTATGTCATTAATTTTATTCACATCATCTTATAGATTAAAAATTGATGCATTCCGTTCATTTCCGTGTTACATATGTGTATATATTACAGAGAGAGAGAGAGAGAGAGATTTCAGTCAATAACAGCATAGAACTTTGTACGTACGTACATCAGTTCAAGTTTCCATACCACATCAGCACTGAGATTCAATTGTCACTTCAAATTCCATGGTAGTAGATATAGTAGAAGTTTTAGCAGAAATCAGAGAGATTAGGGTCCGACGATATAATTCAAGAAGTAGAATCTAGTGAAAGAAACTTAAAAAGATATAGGTAAATTTATTTCATTATCAACAGAAAACCTTTTGTTTTTACATAAATTTTATTCAGTATGATGTGCTTATCAAGTGGACACTATAATCGTAAACTAGGTTCATTAATAGTTACCAGAAGTATAGTATCAAGCTCTTCAAACCTGTCTTATTGGAGTTCCTTATGAAAAGAATTTCACAGCAAGGATGACTGTGAAATTATATGTCGACTTAGTAGATGAGACGGTAGAAAATCCCCTTACTAGTAGCTAATTATTTGAAATTACACAAAAATTGTAATTTGCACAACTATTAGTACATCATTATTTTATTTGTTTTTTTTAATTTTGAGAAGAATGATTTTATTTTGATAACTAAAACAGCATTCACATTCATCGATGTGATCAGCGAGTTGGGATTATATGAAAAATTTAAAATAAATAAGCAAATTTTATACTATGTGGTTTCTACATCATTCTATTACTTGAAAACAGAACAATAAATAGTTTTAGGAATAATTAAAGATATATTAAATAAAGTTCAATTATTGCATTATTTAGTTTATTGTACACAATGTAATCATTGTGAATATCTATTTTATCGTTGTTTTCCTCTTGAACCCATTTTATAAAAGAAAGATTACTTAGAAATGTAATCTTTTAAAGTCTCTACCTCTACAGGTTTTCTTCGTTTGATATTAAGATGTATCATCTTTTTTACTATAACTTTCTTGGCATAGATTCAGAAAGCCAGGTTGGTTTTTGCTAACTTACCTCATTTTTGACGTAAATATGATGTTCATATACAACTGGAAGGCGACTATACTTTTCGACAGTCCTCTTTGTTTTTACTTTATGATGGTGAAACATGGTCTTTAAAAATAGAGGATATTCGTAGGTTATTCATAGTCAATCATAAATATTTTTGAAGTTTTGCTCATTCATGTTGCGGCCACCGAATCAGCGATGCTGGGACGCTAGTTATGGATGGTAAATCAAGTGATGTGTTAGTAAATCTTCGTCAGCTGAGGTGGTTGGTTGTACAACTTATACCCACCCTCCATCCATATGGATGCGTGACGATGGTGTAGAAGTTGGTGTAGAAGTGAGCCGAAAGAAAATCAAGGGCTATCAAACCGAAATATAGCATCAGTACATAAAGTTGTTGGCAGTTGAACTGAATCATGTTGCTAGATACGGATTATCTAGTTGGATTTTAAGCAATTCAGTGACAGCCCACCGTCCATCGCAGCGGTGTAAACGCATTCATTCGTTGTCTTCGCTTAAATTCTGTACTTCAGTATTATATTATACTTTCTTGATTATTTTTTATTGCTCAAATCAGTTTGTCTATACATAATTTTTTTCTAATACTACTACTGATACAATTACTACTTGTACTAATACTGAGATCTCTCTTGACAATTTTATTTCACTTTGCTAATATGATGTAACAACTTAAACCGATGTATATTATTAGTACCAGGTTTTATGATGCGAATGATTGACTCGCTGACTGACTATCGGTACTCCTTAATTTAATAAGAAGCTGACCTTTTTTTTTGATTAGAAATATAAATTTTCTTCTGATATGAGATGAAATGTCGGCTATTATTACTCTATATGGCACAAAATACATAGAGTTCTTTCAGTCAAAATGTTGTCATTACTTCTTTAGTAATCGGTAAATTTCTGTATTCTATTAATGAATATGTAAATACATATTCAGCTGTGTTATGATCAGAACAAGATTTCAATGCTTATTTCACTTCCTTCTTCCTGTTCTTCGTGTTTAGCTAAAGGATCACTCTATGGATGTACAGTTCCATTTCAAAAATTGGCTCCAATTCCGAATCCAAATCAACCTGGTGTATGGCACTAGATAGATTAAAGCTCTTGAAGCTTTTATTTTTTGTTTTGCATGCAAATTTTTTTTTTATTATCATTTTTGTTCATCGGAATACCTGTTGTTGTTGTAACAAGTACAAAAAGAAAAATGAATTTTTGATAACCAAAAAAGAAACACGAATCACAATTACATTCTGTGTATAGTGCTTTTTTATCTATCACATTATTTCCCCATCATACCCGGATCTATATATATATATATTTTTTTTTATGTGGTTAAAATATAATTCAATACGTCTTTTAATCAAATGGATTATGACTTCCTCTACGGGGCTGAAAATTACCAGCAAGTTTTTAGTTTCTTACTAGTTATGATATAAAACGCTTAGAGTATATGATGAAGTATACTGAGTTTGTTGAACCAAAACAGTCTATAAAATCAGCAGATAACAGAAAAGATTTCGTATACAGCTTAGAACTGTAGTACATACATAAATATTAGTCCAGTAATGCTTAATAGCTATTATTTTGTCGTAAAAGTCCTACAGATTTGTTAGAAAATAAGTGAGATTTGTGCGTGATACAAATAAAACCTCCCATATAAATGTGCTCAACTCTTTCTTCTTATCAACTACTAAGTAATAATAGATCTGTCAAAGAATAAATTTGTTTACTTAGAAAAGTGAGTAGATGAGGTAAACGATGTATGTGATAATTGACAAAGCTAATATACTCTGTTCAGTTAGGATCATCACAATACCAGATCTCATCTAAGTACTGCACATCACTGACTTTTTGTGTTAGTCCAGTGTTTCATCTCGGTTTTCCCCAAGCAGATAGTTTAGATTATTGCGGAAGTTTACCGAGGTCATCCATTAGGCATCTTAAATTGGTGATCAGTCTAAATTGCCACTTATTAATGATTTCTTAAAATTTCCAGCTAGATTTTTCTCTCTCATTTTTGATGAAAATCAAAAAGCTGATATCAATATCTTATTTAATGTGTGGCCTTATTTTATATAATTGGAAGTTTACTGAAGGTCAATCAAATAGCTCTTTCAGTATGTCTGTCATCTCAGCATAATGCTCTGATTACACGTCTTTTAGGAAAAACTTAATAATTCTAAACAACTTTCATCAGTAACGTATATCTGTGACAGTAAAGCTATACATTTTGACTGACTTGATCCGCTGTCTTATCTATAGAGTGAAGCTTTACTATGAAACAAATACTGGAGTTGTTAATATCACTTCCTAGCATTTGAACAGAATTGAAAAATAGATACCTATTATTGAATAACTGATAAGCATGCAACATTTTCACTTGTGTCTATCCGGAAAGGTGATTTTCGTGGTTACTGTTATTCGATCACATAGTTCTAATTGTATTAAATGTTTTAATGTACGATAACTCTTGGGTGAATAGTTTTTTCTTGGATAAATTCTACTATTGAAAAATCTCGAACTTAAATAAAATAATTGTCTCATAGCTTTTTTTGATCGGCCATCTACATAATGTTACATGGTAATAAAAATCACTATAAACAAATTATTTTTCTCACTAAGCAAGTACATAATTGCAAAATAGGTGTGGATTTCATCAACTTACACAAATGGTTCATTTTTCTCCATGTAATATTGAATAATGGAGATAAAATTACCTGTTATCAATTATTCACTACAGTGCTGATGAGTCCCATACCAGGACGAAACAACTGTCCAGTGCTTCCAGTTTACTAATGGTGGTCTAACAATGATTGATTGATGATTTCAAATGTATTATAAAAACACTAATCTCCATAACTCTAGTTGAAAATTATTCATTAGTTAAACAGACTTGAAACAGAGTCAATTTTTAAAAGATCAATTATGGAGTAGATGAAATTACATGGTATAACATTATTGGTTTATCCCAAATTATATATACAATTTATTGATTTCGATAAATAATTCGCATAATTTTATCGAAAATAGTTCATTAGAATAAATCTATTTTAGCCACTGATTCAAAGATATTAAGAAGCCAATGAAAAGCAAAGATAGATTTTTTTGTATTATATTTTTTTCCAATAATTATATCTATAGATTATTTTTAAAACTAAAATGCAGAAAAACAAATTGTTTGTTCTGCAAATACAATTCCCTTGTGTTAATTGATACAGAGAGAAAAAAAGACCAGTTTTTTTTGTAAAGCATGTGTAATTTAAAAGATAACGACATATTATGTAAAAAGAAATTAAATAATTTACCTAAAATTAAAGAAACTAAACGAATTGGATTATATTCTCCAATGTTTTTCATTGTACATGTTGAAAATTGGTCATCACAGTTAAAACAAGCAATATATGCAAATCTGTTTGTCATTTTATTTGAAATTCTATTCTTGTCATTTAGTTTTCAGTGATTTGGTGAACTCAGTTTTTGGGAGGTATGTAATGATGAGTCATCATTTTCTAAGTCAGAATCTTGAGAATCATTCTGATTATTGACTGTTAATATAGACGAATCGTTAATTATTTCTAATCCAGTGATAATAGGATCATGTTGTTTTAATGCATTGTCTAAATTACAAACCATATTGTCATGAGTATTTGTATGCAAATCATTTGAATGTAAAGTCATATTAGATTGTAAATTGTGAACAAAATTGATCAGTGTACTCCATGAAGTTAATAAGATATTGAACATTTGTATTTTACTACAAATGGTACATGTACAATTTCTATTTAAATTGTTTGAACTACCATTAGCAGATGACAATGGTACCGATTGTGTTGAACATACTTTTTGAGTTGGTGCATCATTGATTTGAGGAGATTCAGACGTTAGCTGAATTCTTGATTTGTCTTTCTCTTTTGAATCGTCATTTATCAAAGTTTTATTTTTTAATTGGATCGATCTCTGCTTTCTATTGTTCAGTGTTGCAAGTAACTTGTTGGAATGTAAAACTTTTTTATACTTTCGCCTGGATCTAACCAAGTTTCGTTTAACTGAACTAAACGATGAATTGCATGCAAACGAAAATGGAAATAAATAAGAACCAGGGAAACTGTACTGACGTAATTTTGTATTACGTCTTTGTTTAAGCCATGAGTAGTTTGATGAATAATTGGAGAAATAATTAAAATCACTACAAATATCATCTGAAACTTGATTTATAATTTCATGATATGGCAAAGGATTTATGTTTTGTAAAATATTATTACACGATCTTTGCAAACATTCCAAAGGACTTGGTTTGGAGAAAAGAGGAGAATCCTGTGATAAATAAGAGAAATCCGTTTATTGGAAATATGAATAGATCAGAATGCATTGTGAAAAACAGACAATTAAAATTTTTTGATAGAGGTTTTCGTAATGATGGACAGAACTGAAGTACCATCGTAACACTGACTTTTGGTCAGTAGTTATTTATCTGATGAGTAACGTAGTCATACTACATTGATTGCAAGATTTCTTAACTATATATTCGGTCGGTTGGTATTTGGAGATTCGTTTTGTTAGTTATTAGTTTGACTACCTCACGCAGTCGAGTAAAGATGGCATAATTGTTTTCAGCACAGTTTCAGTCAATCTAACTACTATTGCATTCAAAGTTAATACAAGTATCTAATTGAATCTTCATTAATACTCGCAAATGTGCTACCTTCTTAATCCTTTCTAGCTTTCATTTTTAAAGCAATCGGTCTGATCTAACAGGATAATATTCTTCCCTTCAAACATGAAGTAATTTCTCTGACGTATAATGCTACTCTGCCAAATTCAAATAAACTGTTAAATTATTAGTAATGGTATGAACAAATATTTTAATGGAAATATCCCAAAAGAAAATATTAACAACAGTATGAATGTTTGAAATTAGGCGGGCATTTCACTTGTAATTCATCACTTCAACATCATTATCGTTCATAACTAACAAATATTTCAAAATCCTTTATACAACTAGTAAGTTAAATTACTCAAAGCTGTAGTTTGAAACATATCTGTAAAATGAAAAGAGAATTTTACTTCTAAAAGATGTTGAACAATATTAGTAGGATATTAGCACATTTTGTAAGTCTAATTTTGCTTATTTTTCATTACCGATAATGAATGACAAGTTAATGAGATATAACCAAGCATAAAATCAAATCACTGTCGTGTTAAGTCATTAGAATACACAGACTTCAATCTGTCAAATAAAGGACACGAGGATAAGACCTACCAGTGTTCAGTTAATAAGTTATAGTTATCCTAAACAAATTGATTTTTGTCTTCTCTTTGATAAAATATAATGTTAGTCAAGTAGTATGAGTTCAATCAGTGAAGAATCACAAGGAAAACTAGAATATTATTCAACTTGATCCCTTGATAAATGTAAACGAATCAACAACAACAACAACAAGATTTAAAGAATAAAATGAATCTATTCGATTTCGAGGCTTCTTATTAGCGATGTCACTATTTTAGTACGTTTATGATTTATTTATTGAACACAACTTTCAAATTTAAGATAATATGAGATCTACAAGACCAATTTTCACTAGTTTAATTAGTCTGCTGAACATATAGAATTTCGGACAGCAGAAATCCTGGTATATGCAACTACGTTTTGTGAACTCTGATTATTTGAACTGAGGATTTATTGCTAATCTACATATTTAAAGAATACACTTTTTTAAATCATATTTGAGTAGCTTGATTAAATTTTCGTGACAGTCAAAAAATTCTTAATCGATTAGAAATGTCATTTTACAACACCAGTCCTCATTGCTCAGATACATTCTTCGTACTTTATCCCCATTACCTTCATAGATTATCTCACTTTTTGACATGAAACCTGGTTATTAATGAAATCTACAAACTGAAGGGTTTGTTTATTCTTGGCGAGTCTTATCAGTTTCACTTAAAGTAATTAGATATAATCCATGCTTCTGTGCATATTGGTACTTATTTTTACGATACGAACCCGCTACCTGTTATACAAGATGATAGAAATAAAATCCTTGTTATCATTCGTTTCAAGTAGTGAATAATTTGCATTATACGATTATCTACGATCAAGAGGAGACACATACATTCATTATTTCTACGTATCAATATTGCAAATTACCATTGTACATTGATAAAAAGTGATTGATCATATCGAAGAAATCTTATGATCTTCATTTCTATGCAACATTGGATATGATAATGAAAGGTGATTTTAATTTTAGAAAAGAATAATTCAGACACTTACTGTATTACAGCTGAATGGATTTAAATATCTCTGTTCAACATCATCAATTGAATCGATTTGATTTTGAAGAAATTGACGACAATTTTGTTTATCCATAATGCTTCCAATAGAGGTTCGAGTGAAAGTGAACTTTTTTTATTTATAAATAAATTATTTCCTTGAATTGCGTCAATTTTCAAATTTTATGCAATGTATACTTCATAACATAACCATATTATGGAACGGACAAGTTTCAAACTCAATATTTATGGGTAATAAATTACACTGATAGGTTATATTAGATCAGACTGTTGTCACTCCACTGTCTCAACATGAAATTTATTTGTGTACACGTTCATTAACATGTATGTTAATTTACTTCATTTTACAAACTCCAATAGAAGCTGATTTCAAGGTTAGATGGGGAGATGGGGAGAGAAAAAAAGTTTTTTTATAGTTGAACCAATCAGCGGAACACCTATGACGGTTATGTTTCTTATTGGTTTATCGGTGAAAATGAATTTCAGGGTGTACAAACAATTCATCGTTACTTATTGTAGGACATTTAACACTATGGACTGATCTTAGTTAGACGAGTGAAAACTAGTACTCACTGGACTCCTATTTCGTCCTAGTGTGGGACTCCTTAGCAGTATGCATTCAAGACTTTACAGAGAATCAAACCCAGAACCTGTAGGTCTTACGAATTCATTGAACTTAACGTATAAATCATTTTTTTGTGAATTTTAAGGATCCTAAGTTTGATCCCCATTAGGTTCTTGAGTGCACACTGCTAGGGATTTTCATACTAGGAAGAAGCAGGTATCCAGTGCTTCCCGCTTTGCACTCGTTTAACCAAGACTAAGGCGTGACCTGTCTATAAAATTCATTTGTAATTCGTCAGAGTTTTTTTGATGTTAAGGACTGTAAATGATCAAAATTCATTGGCAGTTGGATAGTGTAGGTGAAATATTCCGATATTTCCACCTAACCACAAGTTTTGATTAAAATTGAATACTGGTTATCAGTGGAACCCAGGATTGGATTTCATTCTTCTTAACATTCCAATTTTACATTTCTAATTACCATCCAACTGTAATAAAAATTTGGTTCAGCAATACTCTGTGGTAAACTTTGACTAGCACTGACATTAGTGTGATCCCACCTTAGTTATCACACTTATTGAGACTTATCTTTAGTATCTCTACGAGACGCTTTCTTTTCAGTCTATTGATGCTTGTCCCTCGCACAAAATCTTTTTGAAGAAAACTTAGAACATCTTTGCAGTTACTTCTTTACATAACTTCAGTGCTTCAGTAGATATACTTTCCAGTTTTGCTGCTTTCTTTACGTTTCGTTTGTTTTGTGGCTTTGCTGATTTGTGTAAATGTTATTGGGGTCACATTTGTAGAAAATTGTTTATGCGATTCTTCGACGTACGCTAAGTTCAACGGAACTAGTCTATTCTAAAGCTTTCTAAAATGCTCTACACACCTGTTCGCTTCTATTGATACTCACTGATCGGGTTACCTCCCTTGTTCGTGACTGGTCACCCCGATTTGCTATATTTCCTAGTAATCTACTTAGTTGCATCGTATAGCTGTCTCATATCTTATACTCCCTCAGCTTTGTTGCCACGTCTTCCACATATTTCTGCTTTCCACCGTTAATTCTCTTCCTAATTTGTTTATTTACTTCGGAATGTGCATCCAGTGTCTTGGTCTTCCTCACCTTTTTTTAGCCGTTGTTAACTGCTGTCTTGTTCTTTACGTCTTGAATCTTTTTTAAAATGCCTGCTATTTAATAAGGTTCAACACCTTCCGGTACGCTGAAGTTATTGCTTCTTCAATATTTTTTTAGTCATTCCCCATAATGGTTTCTCTTCTCCTAGAAGATTTTGTAAGACTTGGAATTCGTCGCTGAGATTTGTGTTGAATTCGATGAGTTTGTTATCTGCGTTAAACTCTAATGGTGTTGCTTGTCTCTCATGAAACTGGTATTTGTCATTTTCATGACCATCATTAGTGGGCGTGCAGTCCTGGATGACAATCATATGATCTTTCCTTCTTTCGAAGAATAATTTGATAAACCTAGATAAATGGTTTTCTTATTCTGTAGATTCTATTTGTATATTACATCGGTTCAATTTCTTTTGTGATGGGTTCATCTTCTGTCCTGAAGTCTTCCTTTTCTGTCCAAATCGTGTCCAATGGGCTTTGATTACTCCAAGCATGGTTATGTCTTCTCATTTCCACTACTGTGTGAATGACCCTTCTGGCCTCTTACACTGATGGAACATTCCATGTTCCTAAATTAATTGTTTCTCAAATTGTTAACCTCGAGGCTTTCGAGGATTTTCGGCTTCCGCTATGAGGCGTCGTAACTCGTCTGCCTGAAAGCCCTCCAGGGTAGCATTTAATTTGGTCAGTGCTTTTTAGTGAGGTTATTTTTTACAAGATGGTGTTGTCAAGCCTATACTTGACCCTGTTCCTTTATGTGGATTTGAAACTGACTGTCACCCTAGAATGGCTTAGAGAGAGTTATATTTCAGTTAGGTAACAATTTACCGTCAAACAACATTACAACTAGTGCCTAATCTTTATGCACACATAGAATTCGGATGTGTCCGATTCTACGATAAAGCAGCTTGGTATCAAATTATGCAGTTAGGTATATTTCTTTAGTTTGAAGATAGGTTATGTTGTAATGTAATGTCAACTGGAGAACCAATAAAAATAAAAAAGCGGTTAAGAAGTGTTTTATACCATTTTGAAGCAGTACGAACTCAAAAAAAATTCTATGACAGACGAAGTTAATCCAATCTGCTGCGAGATACTAAATCATAGATTACTTTGGAAACGCATCATACAAAGTTAAGAATATGAACCATTGGATTTAGACTTAAAGTCAAAACGCGCTAGGATCGCCGTGAGACCTAGAAGTCTTAAAAACAATAATATTTAAGGTTTTAGGTCAGCACTCCTGGTCAATTCATGATGAAATACTAAAGTTTCAAGCTAGTTTCGGTTCAGAGAAAATTGTTGTTGATCTTATATTACTTAGTGGTTTAATGAGGAATGATATTATTGAACATTTTTATTACTACGACAATTTATTGAATGAGATTAACACTTCTTCGGTTAGCCCACTGGCACCAAGAATGACTTTTTAATTGAGTTTAACTTCTAAAGCTTTAAAGAATTACACTAACCATTTATTTGTCCAAGTTTCATAGTGAAAGTCTTTTAGAAATGAATTTCTACTATAAAATATAACTACGGTAGTATGGATTTGTTTATCTTCCCAAATTTTCTTGATTTATTCAGGATTATTTAAACATTTTGAGTAACAAACTATTCACAGCTAGTGTTCATTTGTTAGGGTTTATTTATACAGTTTGTGGTAAACTGACAAATCAATATTTGTCTGTTTTCAACACAATGTGATTAGTCATCTATCCATAACACATGTTGACCTTAAATAATAATAATAATAATAATAATAATAATAATAATAATAATAATAATAATAATGATTTTATACATAGTCATGAAGCTTCAACAAACATGTTGAAGAGGCTAAATATACAAACTAAACTAATTTGTTCTTTTTATGTGATTACTCTTTGATATAATACATTGTTAGACTTTTCTTTGTGTACTCGTGCAATATACTGTCTTTCATAAAATATCACATGATTCGGTATAATATATTCACTCGACCATAAGTAGAACTATTCCATTTTATAGCCCAAATATTTTTTCACATGTGAAAACAAATTTCCATGATTGCTAATGAATTGATCAAGTAAGTCAGTTATCCATATCAAATGTAATGATTTAACTGTTACTACAATAGTAAATATTGATCGGTTCATGATTTCAATGAAACTCAACAATCTTCACGGCCTCATACTGATAAGAGTAAACATATTTTTCTTTAACTATGTGACATCTGATAATATTGATTTTTATCTTCCTTGTGATATGCCAACATGATTTTTATTAGTCAATGTAACATTCTATTCAGTGTAACATAAGTTCATTCTTTGATTGTGACATTTGACTTTGGGTTTAATCCTAATTGTAACATTTTGAGACACTTATAATATTGGATTTATATACTTATTGAGTTTAGTATTATTTCAGGTCAATGTGTTCCGCATTAAGTTGCTGTAAATTTTCTCAACGTCATATTAATTTTCCTTATATTATTCAGTGTGAACTTCTTCTGTCATTGTTTACTATAAACTTGTGTATCTTTTCATTTGCATAATAAGTTATCAGCAAGTGTATATAGAATCAGTATATAAATAAGTATTATGGAGTTAAAATTACAGTATTTTTGGAGTCAATAAATCTTTATTGTGCTAGTCTTGTGTGGTCTTATTTAATGTCATGTAAGTTGTGATAGTTTGCGATAGTCAAGTAGAAACTCGGATATTTCAGGGATGTTAATCTATTGTTTAACAGCAATGAGTACCATTTGATTCAAATTAACTCAGTGCATGTGTTCCTAATGACTAGCAAATAAATTTACCAAAATCAATCAAACGGTTTTTAACTTAATTTAAGCTTATAAAGCAGATCTACATTTACTCATCGTTTCACTTTACTTAAATCTATCTGTTTGTGATGTGTTTTTTTTCATAGAAAAATATGCTAAGAATAGTCAAGGGAGTAAAATCGTTTAAAACGATAAGAGTTACACTTAAATCACTAGTTATCTTTATCTATTCACAAAATCTGAGTAAATCAAGGAAAAACTAATCATTGAAAACTTTCGCTTTTGAAATAACACTGTTTCTAAAATATTTTTTCCTTACACATTATTATTCCAAAGAACCTTTACAACAGATTCATTAGGTATATATGGTTGATGATTCAACATTTAAATATAACAAGTGTTCATATTCCTATCAAGTAAAACAATATTTTTAAAAATACTTTTCGAGTTTAATATTTTGTAGAAAAAAATTCATTTGTAGTTAAAATTACCTATCTATTTCCTAATCAAAGTTTTAACTGTTTTAATAAAAAAGATAACTTGAAACCGCCACATAGCTTTTGTTCTCCACTCAATTAATTAAAACAAGAGTCTCAATTTACTAATTACAA